CATTATCGGAGCTATTTTTCGAGGACTTGTAGGTTGTTTTTTTTTTCCCAGCTGAAACAAGCACACCGTCAGTAGCAAAGTTCCATTGGTCAATTTTTTTTTCCCCCACATGATTAATGTTTCAAATTTTTCAGGACTCTGTATTAGGGATGTTAAATTTAGTTTAAATCAACTAGTCGATGGAATTTCTATCAACTAGTCGATTAATCAATAAGCAGGGGAGCCACAGTAGGGTTAGCTCTTGGCCCTGGGTGCTAACCCCACTGTGGCTCTTCTTTTTAAGTGTATTAGAAGCTCTGCCAGGTCTTAATACATTTAAAAGGCTGGTGCGCAGTGAGGATGACCTGACGCAAGCCGGCCATCAGCTGTACCAGCTTGTGCTGGGTCCCCCTCGCTGCGCATCTGCTCTTTAAATGTATTAAGAACCAGCAAAGGTGCTGAATCTGGGACTAGTGGCAAGCAAAGAATCAGCTGATTCCTGGCTCGTGCCAGGTCCCTGCTACCATCCTGCCTTCCACAGAGCTGGTGCTGGGGGGAACCAGCTTTTAAGCCAGCTCCTGCTCCCCACCTCACTGTCTCTGACAGAGGCAGCAAGTGGGGGAGGAAGTGACTAGTCAACCATCTGTATAAGCTTATTTTTATCAGATAGTCCACTAGTAGCTTACATCCCTACTCTGTATATATTAGATCTCATAAAAACTTGGCAAAAGTAAAGCCAACGTAAGCAATTGGTTTTACTTTTGCCAAGGAGGCTACCTTACTAATCAAATGACAACAAGTTCTGTCCTACAAGAAATTCATCGTCTAATAAATAAATCTGAACCCTTCCCCCAGATGGGGGTTGGGGAACTTGAGAAGTCAGTTGAGAACAGCATCCTTTACAATTATAGGCATCATCAATATACCATGTATTACTAGCCTCTCAATCAGACAGGGAAATAAAGCTTAGGAATTCTGTACGATTAACAACCACCGAATGGAGCCCCTTAGCCGTTCTCTCCACCACAACCAAATGAACAGGATGATTTTATCTAGAGTACAGCACCCACGGGGACACTACTCGAAGAACAGGGTGATTTTTTATTTGCATCAGATACAGACACCAGATACCCTTACTACAATCTACAAATGCAGTTTAGCTCATGATAAACTACAATTTAACTCTGTCCTAACATGACAACTTGTTTCGGTTCAAGTACTGGTACTTAATTTTTTGCCAACATTTTAAATATTACCTCCTATCTTGCTCAATGAAGTCTGGGCTATCCACCATTATGCATAATTATGCAGACAGTGAGCCTTACTGAGATCTTAAAACTAATCTGATGGTGGATGGTGCGTATTAAGTGTAATAGGACCTGTGCTCAATCGTTAACCTTCACAATTACATGCAGACTCTCGGTATGCACGGGAGCTAGCTTAAAAGCCGGATCCCCGCATTCGCTCGCCCCTACTCTGCTGCCTTTGTATCAGGCAGCAGTATAGAAGAAGAGGGTGGCTCCACAGGAGCTGGAATGTGCAGGGAGCCAGCTTCTGTTGAGCTGGCTCCTCCCATGTGTAAACGTGTAACCACTCAAAAATTCAGTGGTTACACGCTTACCAAAAACACCACATTTTAACATCCTTAGTAGGCATTTTTACTTAGACCATAAGCCTTTCAGGGGAACAAATGAGCCACAGGACAGAGAGATTCCCATAATTAGATTTTGAAGGACTGCAGGGAGAGAATGAACTAATGTGCTTGATAGACAGGAAGAGGAGACATCTAAGTACAAGGAACAGTATGAATAAAGAAGTTAAACAGAGTGCAGGAAAAGAGATGCAAGAAGGAATATCAGGAAAGACATGTAGGAGTGGGAGGAAATGAGAACAAACATAGGTGTTTGGAGGCTAGATTTATGTAGGGCTTTGGAGAAGGAGGTGCTCAAGTTTTGCGCTTAAATTCAGTGTTGAAGTAGTTCTGGCATTTGTAGAATTAGAGTCTTGTGTATTTACTAGGGATATTAAATATCGATTAATTAACTAATCGAATAGTCGATGGAGCCCGATGGAGCTCTTGTACATTTCAAAGAGGAAGCGCCACCAGTGCATCCCACCCAGTCCCAAGGAGCTGGAGGGAAAGGGGGGGGGGGAGGGCGAAGAGAAGGAGAACAGGCTTTTTGTAATAGAGGCAGCAAGGGGGAGGGAAGTGACTAGTCAATCAATGTGTCGAGTATCTAATAAGCATTTGCTTATTGGATAGTCGACTCGTCACTTACATCCCTGGTATTTACAGCAAACAAGTAGTTTAATTTGCTGGGATAAAGCAACAGTTAATCCTAAATAGGAGTGCAGAGACTGTACTAGCAGAAAATAGACTTACATACTGTATACCATAAAAAAAGTTGCAAGAAATTAAAGCACACATTTCTTAGTGTTCCGTCTGTCCAAAACACTGCTACGTGACTATACAAAAAACAAATCATTCAAAAGTTAGAAATACATCAATAGAGAACAAAGTTAACTGAATCCACTAATAGTAAAACGGAAATTGGCTTCAGTTTCTGATTCTTGTTTTAGACAACTTAAGTAGGTGCCTAGCTTTCAGTTTAGCAGATATTATAGAACAATATGAGAAATGGGGCAACTTTTGACTAAAACCAAGATTGCCTCTGTGGATATTTTTCTTCTTACATGGCTCAGATTCATCAGTATTAGATAAAAAAAATATTTTGGGTAGTTTTTGATTTAAAATAACTTCCAAAGCCTGCAGCCTATTAAAGGAATTAAATAAATTGTGTTTTTATGAGTTAGCAGTATTTACAAAAAAGCTCACTGTAAATTAATACTAATTCCATAATCTGTTTTAGACTTCTGCCAATCATTAGCACAGGAAGATGTTAGATGACTAATCAAGACTCATTTGATATAAGCCTACCTGCATATTTTTAGATCAAATTAAAATTAGACATCAGTGATGTCACAATCAATTGCTATTTTGTGAGTAAGGCATCTTTAAAAGCCAGAAAGAAATGTAATAATTGAGAGTTCAACAAGGAACATTTGTTGGTTCCAATGCTGCATTGAGCCTTGTATAGGATCCACTGCCTGGCTCTGGCTGCTGGATCAAGGCTCATGATCGCATTTCAAATTATAGTTGCTTTAGTTAAAAACTATACAAAATTTTCAAAATTATTTCAGATTAAAAAAAAAAAATCAGTATCAAAACAAGAGAACAGACTCACAAAACAAAAAACTCTTCCAAAATTCTCTTCCAAAGAGAATTTTCAATTTAAATAAAAGCACTAGCTTAAGATGGTGACAGTCAGTGAAAGTTTGCATTAAAAAATCAATACACTAGAAATTTGACCATGACCCTCAGAATGCTTTTTGTTCATTAGTGTTTACTTTAATTAAAGTTATATCTTTTAAATGGGCTAAGATTATCTCCAGTCCATACTTTGTGTCCTTTATTAAATCTTATCCCATCATGTTTCCATGAAGTACTTCTAGTGAATTTAGGTCATTTTCAAATAATGGGCATTCACAGTACAGGCTAAACATTTTCATAGTATAGACTGAACATCTTTTTACAGAATCATAGCCTATGTATAAGGTCTACTGACTATCATGTTTCCAAGACAGGAGGTCTTTCAGTACTAAATGACTAACAGTGACTGACACAATAATGAGATACCTACTCAAAATGAATATAAGAAGCTACATTACCAAAAAAAGTACATTACAAAATCATTCCTGTACCAAATGTATCACAGGACAGTTCTTAGTGAATTATTTGCCACATGACAAGATCTGAACGCCCAAAAGTAACTGTATTGATGTTTCTGATAAATGAGAAAACAAACTTCCAGCTTAGCCAGAACAGTAGCAAGAAACAGCATACTAACTTCAGTAAAACTTTTAATTTAAAAAACATGTATCGATATTAGGAAGTTTAATAGAAGAATAATTAATTGTCAGGAAACTGACAGTCACAGGCCAGAAACCTTAAAAAACAGACAATATTTGGCTGGTCTTTGAAGAGGAAGGGAGGTTACATCAACCTTGCCAACGCTGTTGCCAATAAAGTTATGGAAGATGTGTTAAAGGGTGTAGATGATGCTGACTTACGATGACACCACAATACCAGAGCTGTCTTTATGGCCTAAGTGACTTAATATTGCTCCCATGGACACCAAGCAATGGGATTTGTTTTTAACTGCAGCACATACTTAAATCTACATCATCATTACATAATTGTACACGAGTTAAACTTTGCATAAGGGCTACACTTCCCCTAATTCAGGATTATGCACATAATGAAAAAAAATGTTACTTGTTCAAATAAAATTCTCATGCCAAAGTTGAAAAGCGAAAGAATTTGACATAGCTGGTCTAAAGAATACATTTTTCTAGTAGTGTGGGACAATGTTTGGAGAAACTCGATGCAGACACATCTGTTTCCACTGCCATCTCCATTAGCTTCTTTGATTGCATTTGCCTATAGATTTTGTTGATGCATATTTATCACATTTAGTTGACCGATACACATTCTGATTGATTTTTTACTTCAAGGCATTAGAGCCATAAAGGGGTTACTAAAACGGGAACACATTTGTGCCACAACACCTGACTACAGCACATAAGCCCATCTCATGAGAATAGTTACTTGACCAACTACTATTTCCTCCACTTAGCTCCTGATGTTGCTGTGGCATTTCAGAAGCAAGACCAATTTTTCTCCATTCCAACTCTGTCCAGTGTTTTTATGCAGCCCTTGGTACAGTATGTAAAAGCAGACTGCTGTGTACAAGGGCCCTAGTAATAGACAGTAATAGGTAGCTACAAAGCATGAAGTTAACAAGTGGCAGAAACCCAGCTGTATTACTGAAATTACAAAATCCAACATTAACACCAATTTATCTGACTACACAGAGTTTGGTTTAACCAACTATTACCTGGAAATAGCCTGTATGCAACAATTAATTTCTAGACTCTACTGAAGAAAGAAAAAATCTCACCCGTGTCATTTTAAAAAAGTCTAAAGACGGACGATTCCACCTTACATCCTCCTCCCGTCTGCGCTTTAGCCGGCTTTTCTTTTCATTCAGGACACAAGGCTGTGAACGGCATCTCAGCAAGCCCTGACGCCGGCTGAGCTCTGGTGTGGAGGTGGGAGTGCTGTTGGCTGAAGGCAAGAGGTTTCCTGTCTCAGTGATGTGCTCCTGTGAAAGGGAAAGGCGACGCCTAGGGTTAAAGTCACAGTGTCCTGCAGAATTCCAGCGGATACTTGAACTTGTGCTTCCCTCACTACTGTCCACGAAGCCGCTGCTCGCAGAGGAAGGTCTGGGGACTGGAGACGTGTTGAAGCTGGTGATAGTGAAGACACTATTTAAGGACAGAACATTTTGTGGCAAGCTGATACTTGTGCTTCTTTGTAAGTTTGCACTCCCATGACTGTTGCAGCGCTGCAGAGTGGCACTGCCACCACTGTTGCATCGTCTCTTTGATACAGGAGTCCAGACTTTTGAACTGCCGGGTTTCCATGGTGACCGACAGCGAGCCAATTCATCTGGCTCAGAGAGTGACCTACAGTGGCGTTTGGTAGGTGGTGCCAATGGCTGTCCCGAGCTTTCATTAAGGTTTAGTTCACTTATCCATCCTGACACCATAGAAGGACTCCATAGATGCATTGAAAGTTTCCTGCTGCCATTGCAGACTCACGTTGGTGGCTGTGCCTCTACTGAATGGGCACACTGGGAAAGGGTAAGCTGAATTTTTGGTCGCTTCAGCTTGGATTGGACAACCCCCATTTAAAGCTTTCCAAGGACTCTCTTCTAAGGAAGAAAAATGTAAGGGAAGAGAATAAAATAGGATACTGTTAGCTTACACGAAAAGAGATTTGGGTACAAACTAACAAGCTGGAAATCCTACTTATCTTAGCCATGAAGATGGCACTTAACTCTGCATCTTTACCAAAACCTGACCCTCTAACATGAGCTAGCTTTGAAGAGGAAGATAACAGGAAAACTCTGGGATTTCAGAGTTAAAAAACCAACCAAAAAAAATAGTTCACACAAATTCTCTTAAAGACACGCTTAAGTAACAATGTAACTCCACACTGAATACTCATCCTTATACTTCAGTATGGCTACTGTTAAAATGTCAATTACTTTTACATATTAAGAGCTATGGACAGTTTAGCTCTGTCACTTACAAAGCATAGCACAGCAAATCATTTTGCACAATGCAAACTTTCACAATAAAATGCTGATATTAATAAGCAGTAGCAGCAAGTTTACCTACTTCTCCTGAGTCTACAAATAATATATTTCCCTAAAGATCAGTAGTACTGAATGACCATAGGTAGGGCTGAGCTGGTTCAATAAACCGTGTATAAAAATCTAGCAGGTTGGGATTTTTTTTTTTAAACTTAACATGGATCAAAAAAATCTAGCTGATAGGTATGACTATTTTAAGTCTATAGGGACCACAGATAATTTTATTCTCCTCCATTATGGAGATACATTGCATATATAAAGCCAAACAGTTTTATAAATTTTTTTTCCTTCAAGACACCACATTATAGAAGTCCAAAGCTTATGTGATGTATGCTCATTCTTTATTTGTAAAGCTTTTAGTTACATTATAAAATATTGAGAACTCTTATTTTAGGAACTGTTGGTTAAGATTGTTTTTTGGGTAGCGGAACATTTGTCACTCCCACTCATATCCAAGACACAAAGCCTATGAAAGCCCTAAATTAAGGGCCACCATTCTCCTTACTTTACACGTTAAAAAAAAACCCTTATACAAACGTTATTGTGAATACAGACAGCTCATAGTGTACAACTTCTTATGATGTGAAGTGGCAATGCTGGGTTGCAAAAAAGTCTGCCAGCCAAGCCTCACTCTTTTGTGAAGCTTTTCTTTGAGAACATTTTGCACATTTTACAGCTGTTCCCCTACACCATAGAGTGAAGCCTAAGAGGAACTACAACAGACGCCTAGGATTTGCAAATTGAAAGACATATCATTGTCCTGTTGGCCAGTTAATAGCTCTTCATGCTTGGTTAGAAAATTTGCTAATTTAAACCAATTAGCCAAGTATATTTCACTCAATTTGAGGGAAGTGGCAATAAAAGATGAATTAAAGTCTTGGGACACCCAAAGGTCTTTCCCAAGTAAATTTGTAAAGCTAGTAATTAGAAGATGAAGCTTTTATCTTACTTACTCTAACATATATTAGACCAGAGTATTACTTTTAAAGCTGGTGGCAAAAATTCTTCTAGGTTAACGGACTGATTATATTTTACATATGGATCTTGAAAATGGCCAGGGATGTAGACTCATGTTCACAGGTGATCCTAAACCACTGCCAGAAGATAGGAAGGGAAGATGGGATAGGTCACTCCCATTGATTGGCCTGTTCGGTATGCTCCCTCTGAGGTAGTGATACTGGTCAACGGTGGAAACAGGATATGAGGCTAGATAGGCCATTGGTTTTATGCAGTACGGCAGTTATATTTCCACTGCTGCTAGGTTTGTTTTGTTTTGTTTTTAAACTTACCAACAGACAAAAGTTGCTTTGAGGGTTCCAAAGCCAAGTAGCTATAAGATGTATATGCTCCCCGGTCAGTGGGGTCTTCCAATAGTTAGCATATCTTGTTTACTCAAAAACACCACCCCTCCCCATTCCTTTCAACTTACAGACAGCTGTCCTATGCAAATATGTGTTTCACAGCAGTACAATCATATGTGTTTTGCTTTCATTAAATTTGTAAGCTCTTCAGGGCAGGAATCATCCTTGCTAAGTTTGAATAAAACCCGTAGTACATTTAGGCCCTGATCCTGTCTGGGATTTTGAGACACTACTGTAATGCAAATTTTCTTCGCATCTAGATTTAAGATCCCTTATGAAGGCTTATTCATGTAAAACAAAACCAGAAATAATGGTTCAAAATCACTGATAATTTTACAGTAAATGTGCTGTGAGCACTGTTTGTATTAGGCTGTTGTAAAATTGTGATACTGTTGTCCTCTTGGAAATCCCAAAGAAACAGAGAGCAGTATCAGGAGACAAACCCACTGAGTAAATGAAACACACAATGTCTTACAAAGAAATTAAGCTGATTTAAAATTTCAGCTTTTCCCACCATCAATAAAATACCTTTGATTTAAAAAACCATTACATAGCAATAAGATAGAAGAAACACAGGAACAGTAACTTGATAAGCCAGGATAAAATACACTAAAATACACACACACACACACACACACACACACACACACACACACACACACACAC